CATTGAGGTGAGATTATCCTCCTTCTTTCCCCCCCCAGCCCCATCCTCGCAGCGGCTGATGCTGAAAAAGTCAGAAGCTGCCAATACAACAGAGGAGATGGAGGATGGCCAGTGTTTCACTCAGGTAAAGGATGGGGATGGAAATCTGCACAATGCAGCCAAAACTGTGACAAGGACTTACTCAATGCCAGTCCAGTTGTCGAGTCATTTGAGAGAGGACAGTAATGTAATAGATGTTTCAGCACACCCAGTGCAAAGTGTTCAGAGCAATATTACAGGGATGCTAAAAATTGTCCATCTCAGGGTGCTGAATGGCCAGGGCACCCAGAATGGAAAAGAACAAATAAGCACTTCCCAAAGTGTCCAGAAACCAACTCTGGAGCAGCTCTCTTTAGCTAACACAAATAGCTGCCCTGCCCCAGATAAACTAAAAGCTTTCAAGAGAAATTACTATTACTATGAATTGAACTGGCCACAGGAATCTACCTCATCTTTCTCTGTGAAACAGAGGATCAAATCTTTTGAGAATCTGGCAAATTTCGATAGACCAGTTGTTAAAGCTATAGACATACATTCAGCCTCTATGAGTTCTAAACCACATGTCGGCCGACGATCTTCTAGTGGGATAGCCTCCATAAGCACTACCAGCACACATGATGCAGTGCAGACATTGAGACGAAGTTTGAGTTCATGCAGCGACAATCAAAGTCCAACATACGCTCAGAAATCACAAACAAATGTAATCTTAACTCACGTGCAGCAGAATTCAGTAGACAGCAGCAAAGACGACATTCATTTAAAGAAAAGCCAGGGTGAACACACTTCAGGAGAGCCCCGTGTCTCATCACCCACTGCACCGCACCTCCGAAGAAGCAGGGGTTGTAGCAGGCAGTCACTGTCCCGCATGAAGCTCCGAGAGCTCAGAGCATTGAGCATGCCGGATCTTGACAAGCTGTGCAATGAGGACTTCTCGGTGGAACCCAAGGCCACCCATTTCAAAACCGAACTGGAAATTACACCCCGCAAATCACTTGGCCTGCCTGTTGAAAACATTTTAAATCCGAATGCATCTTCTGCCCCCTCTAACTTTGCAAAACTGAATCATCTATGTTCTAAAAGGAGCAGTCCTTGTAATAGTGGCTCTGGGACTCCTGGGTCAGCATCTGATGAAGATATAACACATGACTGTTCCCCAGATAGGAAGCCATCAGAAAAAAGCTGGTCTATCAGGTTAGTTTAATGCTCTGTGGTTTTTAATTTAAAAAGCATTTCCTAAACTATTGTTCTTGTCATTCCTGCAGTCTTTTCTTGGGCAAAACTTCCAGTTATGTAGAACCTAATTGCAAATCCATTGAGGTTCATTGCATTTGAGCACAATGGCTTTAGATCGAGTCCTCGCTCTATCAGCTGGACACAGGGTTTCTCATGCTTTATTTTAGAAAAGTATTGTGGATTATGGCCATTTGGTGATAAACATGACTGTATTTCAGTCCTGATTGAAATGCCCTGCATAAAACAGGCTGGATGTTCAGAGGGCTTTTTAGATGTTCCTGAGTACCCTCCACATCTAATTAGATCAAGGCTCTGAAATGAAGCCATTGGGATTTTAGGGTGTTGAGTAGTTTAGAAGAGACATTTCATGTTTCCTTCCTTTCCCATCTCTCTAGCTCTTTCACTCTTTTCCTCTCCTTTAACATTATTATTATTATTATTATTATTATTATTTATGAAGAGAGAACTGCTGTCCTGGCTCACCTTAGTTGGAAGCCTGTCATTGTAGTCCACGTTTCCCAACATGGCAATTGCTGAGCTCACTGACACTCAATTTTTAAAAGAATTGGCTTTATCCTAGGTTGTTGTTAAAATCTTTAAGAAAGATATAGGGCTTGGTTTCCAAGCCTATTTAAAATTGGTGTCCCTTTTTGCACTGACAGTAAACGGCATTTTGACACTTAACTGCATGATTTGTGTGTGCAATCAGACATAGCACATAGGTGTGAGAGCTAGGGGACCTGTGGGAGCAGCAACACCTTCTGCCTTCAAGGAGATACCATTATATAGCAGGCTCACAGTTTAGTTCAGTGGCTCACAGCACCCTCATTATACAAATTGTTCCAGCCCTCCTAGCAATCAGATATGTAAATTGCCTAAAATGAAGGTGCTATAATCGTGGGCACATCTGAAAATCCTTCTTTCACCTTATTTAAAGAAATAAAAGTAACAGAAGTGGAGAAATAAAGCCCAGGAAATTGATGCTAATGTGAAATATACTGTATTATTGAGACCTATCCTTTCATTCTTACAGAAATACAATGCTGCATTTTACATTTATGTATATATTATTTTTAGCTTGGATCAGCTATTAGTCTCAACCTTGGACCAGCAGAAATTGCAATCTGTTTTATCATCAGTAAAGGCAAAATGTGATATCATTACAGTGCTCCAAGAAGTCAAAGAACAAGCAGAGGTAAGAAACAAAAGATCCAAACTTAAAACCGCTAGCTACATTTTAGTTGTTGATGTAAATAAATTCTTTTTTACTACAAGTTAAGATCCATACATCCAGTAGCCTCATTCTTTGATAACCTATCACCATTGATGGCACCACTGGTTACCCCTAATTTTGTGCTTAAGAATGTCTGCCAGAAATTCATGCTGTACATTTGAAGGGCGCTTTTCAAATGACCATGATGAAGAGTATTACCGGCATGCTTCTCTAATGTGAAAGTGATTTGTGATCCACAGTGAAAAGGGCTACTCTGCAAATCGGTTGATGGAGCATGCCTCCGTGTCAGACACTACCAGAGCTTAGAACACCTTTGAGCTTACAAATAGCTCGAGGTTGACTGTTAATCAACCATTCGGCTCAAACCAAGTTCTCAGCCAAATACAAAATACTGCTCTACACTGTTTCCAGAAGTTCCTATTTTTTTTTTTTACCATTAAAGGCTATGAAAACAGAATAATCTTGTTTGAAAGGAGCACTGGCAGTATGGAAGCAACACGAAACACAGTTGCTCAGGACACCCAAAGTTCCTAAAGGCTCCTGGCTCCTCTGTGTTCTCTGTCTGGTCCACAGAGGCCAGTCACTGTTGAGGCCTCCAAAGTGGAATTGTTGCCAGTTTAATGTGCATGTTCACTTATGTGTGTGGGCTCACATGGCAAAGACCACACTAGAGGAGTTGAGTATGACATGTGCTCCATATCACCTGCTGGTGAGGTAGATTTGGAAAGTTTCTGAAGTTTATTTGTGAAGGTTCCAGTTTCAAATATGACATGGGATAAGGGGAACCAGAATGACTTGGTTTTATCTCTTTCCCATGACAGCCTAGTTAAAACTTGTGAGTCGCCAGAGTGAGGTGGACTCAGGTGAGTTTGGCAGCTTTTCAAGAAATACTGGATTTTACTCGTGACCAAAAATAATTAAATGTACTTTCAAGTATTTTAAATGGAATGTTAGAGAGATTATTTATTCATGCCAGTTTTTGAAATCTGAGAACTCAAATATTTATAAAACTGAATGCTTTTTGGAAGGCACTCTAAGTTGTTTCTCAAATTCACCCTTTCGGACAATATGGCACGTATGCTGGAAAACTTTATTCTGGTCACATACTGGATTTAAGCCTGCAATCAGGTAGTTCTTCAGAATTATATAAACTCTTAAATATGATGTAAGTGTTTCTGGACAGAGATTGTGTCTTCCTTTCTGTCTGTGCAGGGCTGAATTTACTGCTAGCGTTCAATCACAGTGAGGCCAATTAACCTTTGGAACAGTTTACCAAGAGTTGTGGTGGATTCTCCAGCACTGGTCATTTTGAAATTAAATTAGGAAAATATTTTAAGAGAAATATTTTAGTTCAAAAGGAATTGTTATGGGGAAGTTCTCTGGCTTGTGGCATGTTGGAGTTCAGACTGGCTGATAACAGGGCTTCATTGGAAGCTTTGAATCGGTAAGTATTAGGAAAATAAAAGAAAAAGAAAACATGGAAACGTAACTATTGTGCATGGTTTATTATTCTTATTCTTAAGTGATAGAACTGAGACCAGAGACCTGAGCTCCTTCCATGTGCCACTGGTTTCCTCTGTGACTTTGGGCAAGGCAGTTAGAGCCCAATCTGTTGAGAGGGAGACTTTGGGATGTTGAGGATGAGCAGCACCTCACAAGATCAGGAACCCAAATGCTTCGTGCCTCAGTTTCCTCATTGGTAATATAGGGCTTTTAATAATTATGGCCTCATAGGGGAGGTTGTGAGCTGATTAATGGATGCCTGTAAAGCACAACTGGCTCATCAGCTGTAAGATATTACAGTATGCTATGCCCTTTTGGAGGGTATCTATGCAAAGCAAAGAGATGACAAACCACCCTCCCTTAACCCATCGAGCTTGCTTTTGCTGAGGCGAGAGTTTGGCAGCTGGGCCAAAAGGAAATGCTTGTGTTTTGGAAAAGGAGATACCGTATATTCCGGCGTACAAGACGACCTCTGATGTTAAAAAACATCCCCCAAAAATCGGGGGTCGTCTTGTACGCCGGATGCCCCGCCGCCGGAGCCCCTCCGCGGCTTTGAAAGCCTCGGGGGAAGCCGGCAGCGGGGCATCCCAGGCGCGCATGGGCTGCCCCCCCGCCGGAGCCCCTCCGCGGCTTTGAAAGCCTCGGGGGAAGCCGGCAGCGGGGCATCCCAGGCGCGCATGGGCTGCCCCCCCGCCGGAGCCCCTCCGCGGCTTTGAAAGCCTCGGGGGAAGCCGGC